ACTCAAAATCTTCTCCTTCTGACATCTCACTATGATTAATCTGCATGAATTTTCTCATGTTCCATTTTCATGATCTGATTTTCAGTGGGATCTTGCCTAATTCATATATATGTGTGTGTGTGTGTGTGTGTGTGTGTGTGTGTGTGTGTGTGTGTGTGTGTGTATATATATATATATATATATATGAATTATATAGATTAATACCTTGGCATTTACAACTAACCCAGTGTATTTAACAATTTAACCAATTGTCTCATTACAGACTTAGCCTGTAATAGAGTAAAAATATACATCTTGCCAGGAGCTGGTGGTGCACACCTTTAATCCCAGCACTTGGCAGGCAGAGGCAGGTGGATCTCTGTGAGTTCAAGGCCAGCCTGGTCTGCAGAGTGAGTTCCAGGACAGCCAGGACTACTTCACAGAGAAACTCTATCTCGAAAAACAAAATAAAATAAATAAAATAAAAATAAAAAATTAATATATATATGTATGTATATACAACTTTATCTGTTGTAATATGGTAAAAATTATATCTTTATCTCTACCATTTATGCTCTAAGTACAATTTTAATTCATTGAAAACAAGTGAAATTAAAACTTAGTTCCTTGCTTACAGTTACCACATTTGAACTGCTCAATAACAAATAGAGCTGGGTGGCTACTGTATTACACAATGCAAACAGAGACATTTTCATTATCATGGACCAATCCATTGGACAGCACTGCTACGGGTTTTATAAATTCCTCAAGAGCAGAAATGATGCCTTATTTAACACTGTGTTCATTCCTAGCCCAGTGCCTGGAATGAAGCTGTTAATAAATGTTTAATGAATCACACTGAAGAATGAATATTAAAAGGAGGAAGATTTCTCAAGCAGAACATGATTTTTAAAAGGAGCCAAACAGAATTTTATAGAATGCTTCTGAAGATAGGATCTATTTTCTAAATGTTCCAAATTATTTGTCCCAGAAGGCAGGTGTGGGTATTTTGTTATAGCAACAAAAAGTTGACAGGTAAGTTAAAGGACATGAATCAATAACTCCCCTGCCTTGTCCAGGATTAACCTTGAAGTGGCTGGAGAAGAAGCCATCCACTGCATGGAAGTAGAGTTCTTTGAAGCTGAACATGAAAGCCTGGGTGTGAAGCTGATTGTAGATGTAACCAACTGTCTTATTAAATAAGAAACACAAAGCCAATGTAAATGAGAAAGCCAAGAGGTCAGAGCTCAGAGCTAAAACCTTTCCCTTCCTCCTGCGGTGGTCCTACCTCTCTGAAAGAGACCTACTTCCTGTGTGTTTGTTTTTATATAGTCTTTCTGTTCTGCCTTCTCATTGATTGTAAACCCAAACACATGACTGCCTCGTCACTGCCTATATGTACAGCCCTCCAGGTCTTAAAGGCATGTGTCTCCAATGCTGGCTGTATCCCTGAACACATAGACTTACCTAGCTCTGCCTACCAAGTGCTGGGATTATAAGCATACGCCACCACCGCTGATCTCAAGGTGAAAGCCGAGACTCCCAAGGTTGAGAGGCACAAATCTATAACTTGGGACCACTGTTAATTGATAGAAGGAAATAGAGCCAAGATTTGAGGAAGAGGGAAATGAAGAAGGAAAGAACAAAAACATCGCCCAATGCAGATAAAGTCACAATCAGAAACAGAAGTGTTGTTCTCAGCACCAGCTGCTTGCTGTTTCTTCACTTCGAGAACACTCGGTCCTTTCCTCCAAAAGTATTGCCACCCTGCCACATTTCCCCAGCACTCATATACTAAATTCCAGGGGAAAAAAATCTCTCAAAAAGTAAATGAACAATCTCTTCACAGATTTGTATTCATTACACTCTGACTTTTGCCTTCAAGTTGTGCATTTTGACTCACAGATGTTCCTAAAAAGTTTTTGGTGAGATTAATGCAACTGGTAGACACCTGCATTTCTGACTAACAAACCACCTACTATGGTGATTTCTATCCAGATCCTCAGAGAATCTGTTGCCAGGTGTAATTAGAGAAACACACTTAGGAAACTGTCAAGAGGCTTTTTTAGCTCCCTGCTTAGAAATGTTTCCTACCAGAAAACAAAACAAAACAAACAAACAACCTGACCTCCCGAACTGTCCCTGTGAATTCAGATGCACAGTGACGGGCAGGGTGGCTTGCCCTTTAGGAACAACTGGGAAACACAGCAGACTTACCTGCAGCTTACAAATTTCTGTAATTCAGAAGACTGAAGCTTGTTGTTGGAGGCTGCAAATGTCTCCAGGGAAGCCACCCGCAGCTCCCGTTTATTAGGTCCCTGGAGTCAAAGCAGCAGCAGAAGCCACCACAGAGTCAGAGGTTCTGCCATTCAACTGAGGTGCTCCAGAATGGAGGCTGATATTTCAAGCCTTTTTCCTTAACTCCTCCTCTCAACTCCTGGCTCTGGTCTCTTTGCTTTCGTTTTTGATTTTCTCTGCTATGGCAGTAATCTCATAAGCAGGGTTTCCCCTTTCTATCTGTGCAGTGGTATGAGTTGGGGGGAAAAAAAAGCTTATATAAGGAGTATGATTTTTAAAAACGTTACTAGGGCCCACACCTGAAAGTTGTGACTTGGTTGGTCTGAGATAAGGCACTAGAAATTTTGCCATATGCTGTAGCCGAGCATCAGAAATTCCTCAAAGCTGACAGCTTATGCTTTTACAAAAGTGACATACATAGTTACCAATACTGACTGCTTTAAAGAACATGGTGCTTTAAAAGTCATTTAAGTTTCTTCTGTAGTAAGATTGTATACTAGCAATGGAGTTTTCCACAAATATGTTTGTTTTGTATTCCTCCAAGGCAACATTACATTTCCCAGCCTGCTTTGCAGCTATGTAGAACAATGTAACCAAGAACTTTGTGTGAAAAAGTGCCTTGGTCCTTTTGGGCTAACTGATTCCAAAGGTATAGCAAAATACCTTAGAATGGGTAATTTGTAAGTAGTAGAAAATTATTTCTCACCATTCTGGAATCTCAGAAGTCCAAGATCAGTAAGGGAACATGAGGCATCTGATGGAGGCAGGCTTTCTGCTCCATAAGTGAAGTCTTATCACTACATCCTCATCAAAATGACTTTCACAGCCATAATTCTACCAACATTCTGGTCATAGACAAAGGTCATTTCTTAAAGCTGTCCCCACAGTGCTCTTTTGAGTTCTGTGTGACAACCTGCCTTGCTTGTTTTGACTCCCTCTGTTCCCGCGCCCCTCCCCCATGGGAACCCAGCTGTGTCAGGAGAAGCTGCAGGTTTGGACAAACATCGATTAACTGAGTCAAGAAGGGCTGCAGGGTATACAAATATTGTTTAGATAAAATCTCCTAAAACCTTGTTAATGAAAAATTTTAAAACCTAAAACAATTTGGCTCTAAAAGTTTAACTTCAAAATTGTAAAAATTCCTTTGTCTATGCCTCATCCTCACCCCTTACTATAAAAAGAGGCTCATAGGCCCCCTCCAGCAGCCACAGTCTCAGAATTCCAACATTGGCTATGGTCTCAGCTAGCTGATAAGCTTTGTGCCCTGAGGTGTCTTACTTTTTTAATTTTTAATTTTCTGGAATAAAGTTTGCTTCTGGTTTAATAGACTTCAGTGGTCTGTCCCCCTTATTGTGAGATCCCGGACCCAACATCACAAGAATGATCTCTAGGCCACATATTAATATTCTTCTCCTCTGAAACCTCTTGAGACAGGCCCACACAATTCATTAAATCACACTCAATACCATGCCTTTCATGTTCCTACTACTATGGCCCATTAAGCAGCACTTAAAACATTCAACTGCTTTTCTAATCCAGAGAGTAGAAGGTGGTAATTTGAATGTAATAGAAACCCCAAGACCGGCATGCATCAAAAACTCATTGTTGAAAGCTTGGACCCCAACTGCCAGCACTGTTAACAGGTTACTGGATCACGTGAGTGTGAACATCATCAAAAAATTACTCCATTGATGAGTTTATACTCAATGAGCTATTAAGAGGAGCAGCCTAGCTGAAGGAAGCAGGTCCCTGGGCCATGCCTTAGAATTTCAAAAGGATATTGTATTCCTGGCCATTTCTGCCTCCTAATGCAAGGAAGAGAGCCGGTTTGCTCCACCACAAGCTCCCTTGCTTCATATTCTACTGAACCACCAAGGAACACGTGACAGAGTCCAGTGACCACGAATTAAAACCTCTAAAACTGTAAGCCAAATAAATCTGTTCTCTATTGTTTGTTGGAGTTATTCTGTCACACTGACAGACAGAAAACAACCGGACTAACACAATTACAAATCTGAACAAAAAGAGAAAATAAAAGTGTATAACTGATACTATTGGGAACAATATCTTATTATCTAGGGCTCTACTATATTACATTCCGGTGATTCTGAAAGGAGCAAATGAATTCTATTTTATTTTAGAGAAATCCCTTGGACTATAATTCAGGGATATATACACCAGCACAAATGCCAACATTATGCATTATGAGCAGAGACTTTCTTCCTATAGCCCCAAACTGGGAGCCATGAAAAGTATTACATAACATGATGCTGGTAGTATCTGTTATTGCAATAACATGGTTATTATAATCAAGTTGTGGTATTCTGATTGACCACATGTGTGAAACGTGAGAGAGGAGGGGACAATTTATTCCACTCCAAACAAGTAAGTTTTTTGTTTGTTTGTTTTTGTTTTATCTAAACAGGAGAAAACATCACAAAACAGACAAAAGTAAGAGTTCCTGCAGACACAGGAGAAATGTCCTCATGTTGCCACTGTGCTAATTCTTTACTGGTTTCCCATCATGCTTCGAAAATGGTCTGAAGTGTATTTGTACACAGATATCTTCACCCTATTAACCACCAGTTCCCCTCTACTTCCACCCATTGCAATTTAGTAGCTCAGAGATACTTGTGCCATGATTTGTCCTTTAGAGAAGCCTAATGGTCACTTGGAATGCTCTAGAAATTATGCCCTGTGAGCCTGTAGCTTATTTTTGTTTTGCCCATAGATTAACAAGGATTTACCCTTGCAAACACTTGAAAAGTTTTAAATAAAATTACTATTGTCAACACAAAATTATTAAGTGTAAATTTCAGGGTACAGGATTAAAAGTTTAATTGGAATTCAGCCATCATTTTCATTACATACGTCCCCTGTTATCATGACAGAATGCGGCCTACTGACAGAAGACTTGCAGATGACAACATTGAAATTATCCGTGGGATAGTACTTTACAGAAACAAAACAAAGCAAAACTGCTGAGCCCTAACCTAGAGGGCTGCAGCCCTCATCATCATACTTGCTTCTCTTAGCTGCACCTCTGTAGGTCTCAGATTGCTCCCTTCTTATTACGGAGAATGCTGACGTGCTATAAATGTTTAGAGGCAAAAATGATTTGTTAACATTGGCTAAATTGTTTGTAAACTGATTCAATACTCCTGTATACATATAAGTATTCATGATGCCTTAAAACACCTGTCTCTAGACTTCCAGTAACAATAAGAATGATCTAAGCATATTAATGTGAGTTTTAAGAAATTAGGAAATGCCAATATATTATTCTCATGTTTCTTTTATAAAGCAGAGTATTCTGTGGTTTATCACTAATAATTTCCTTGAAAATTATTATAGAAAATTGCTATGATGATGAAAATTTTAGGAAAGGTAGGTCTAAGATTTTATTTATACAGATATAGGCCTCTCACTTCATGATATTTCATTACATGGAAAATATTTCCCCTTCCAAAGTCAAGATATTATCACTTTCAGCCCACTTGCATTTTCTTGTGATACCTTCCTTTGTCATCCAATAAGACATCAGAAGAATTCCTCTACAGAAAGTGAGAAGCGGTGCTGGTCAGGAGATGAACAATTCTACTTCCCAGTAATATCATCAAGTCCACTCAGAGCTGGCTGCTCACATCTGGAAGGAGATGATTCCTGAGGAATTTTTGTATCTCCTTCCAAGAATGCTCCTGTGCAGCTGCGTGTGAGGTAACCTCTCCGCCCCAGCTGATGCTTGGGATCACATAGGGGATCCTTGAGGCACAGCACAATGGGGAGTAGGGAGGCTCAATCAGGTGACCCGCCCCAGGGTAAGACAGCAGAGTCCAATTCTTCTTCCCACTTTTTATCAGCTGTGTTGTGGCTTGATGAGCATGTACTTTGCTGTTGAGATTCTTGTCATCTTCTCCCACCACAAAAAGGAAATGTCCCTGAGCTTTTTCAATGGGAAAACAGTATTTGCTATCCTTGTCTGCAGTCTCCTCATAGGCTCGATAAAATTCTACAAGGCCCAAGGCATTGGTGGTTACAAATTCTATATTGCATGGTATGGGCCGGTCGACTCGACCATGATATACATGTGGATCACTAGTAACAAAATTGGGCCCATTGATAAGTACAGTGGCTTTTATTTGTTTTAGGTTAATAGCCATAGAGAGTCCAACTTCTGCTCCTTTGCACACAGAAACGACGCCAACACCTGAGCCCAAGACCTAAAAACAATAACAATGAGATGTTATTTTTTTTCATCAGGACATCCACAATTTCAAACAATCCAGAACTTCAACAAGTCATAGTACAAGACAAATTAAAAAAAAAAAAAATTAAACCCACCCAGATGCTTGTATGTCAAGTAGCTAGAGTTCTGGAACACAATTTGTTTATTTAATTGAGCTTTACTATAGATACATTGGATTCAGCATTATGCCTGGTTCTGAGTTTAAAGTGCCTTCAAGAACTATCACGCCAGAACTAGAAATAGAGGTAGTGGTGAAGTCCTTCCCTAGCATGCAGTAGTCACCACAGGAAAAACAAACAAGAACAACAAAACCAGCGTAGTCAGGAAAATAAGCAAAGTGAATGTGTTATTGTAAATAGCGTTAGTCAGGGGGTAGGCAATGAGTAAAGTACTTTGCAGAGGAGTGAGTCTCCTACAGAAAGAGGCGAGAATGAAGGGAAGTTAGGACTATGCATGAAAGCTTTGATCTCATAAGGAGATTTCAACAAAGAGTATCTTAATACATTTTTATTGTCAATCATCAAACAAATGTAATATTTTACTTTAAGTTCCTAAATTTTAACTTTTGTCCCTAGTCTCTATCTGTCTCAGCAGATTTCTACTTGGCTGACAGACACGTCTAGGTATCAGCTGCTGACTACAACCTGCTTCAGATGACTGCAAGCCCTGGACTTGCTGAAGGCTGGTGTGAACCAGTCCAGCTAATGTGATTGTTTTCTGTCTCTTCAGCTGGGTTATCACACCGAATGTTTCTGATGAATGCACCATAGCCTGAATTCCCTCCTTGCCTCTGACCAGCATCCTAGCCTTCCTGGGCCCTGACAATAATGTCCTAGTTTCAACAGGAAGTAAGTAGAGGAGAGAATATGTTGTCCCTTGTGCCCCAACAGGCTGGAATATTAGATCAAAAGGAAACTCTTTTATAGGGGACCTGATTTGAAATAAGTAACTGGTCCTTATTCTCATTTCCATGATCCTTCTAGATAGGAACTCAGTCATCACGGGGCCTTTGGCCCTTCTGTGTCTGCTAATTGCTATTGGTTCTTACATCATTGATGCTTAACTAAAGGATAATTCCTATCTGGGTACCATTAAGCTGATGGTTATTAGATCCCTATATAAACAAGTACCCATCACAGAGTTAAGGATTTGACTCAGGATACAACTCAAGGGGGGAATGTGAGAGCCAAAGGTAGTTGGTTTTTTTTGTTTGTTTGTTTGTTTGTTTGTTTTTTGATCTTTTGAGACAGAGTTTCTCTGTGTAACTTTTGGAGCCTATCCTGGAACTTGCTCTGTGGACCAGGCTGAACTTGAACTCACAGAGATCCGCCTGCCTCTGCCTCCTGAGTGCTGGGATTAAAGGCATGTGCCACACCGCCGGGCTGCCAAAGTTACATTTTAAGTTTTTTTCTAGAACTCACTCTGTAGCCCAGGCAGGCCTACAAACTCATAGACATCCACCTGCCTCTGCCTCCCGAGTGCTGGGATTAAAGGTGTGCGCCACTGCCACCTGGCTACATTTTAAGTTTTAATTACTATGACTAAGAGATTCATGAAACAAAATTTCCTCTGATCTGCAAGCCACTTGCTAAGGACAGATAGTTCCTGAAATGCTGGAGGCTGTTGTTTATGGGAGATAACGAGCCACATGTTTTTCATTCCCCTAAACAAGTTCCTTTGACCCATCTGCACCAGATGTGCTTGGTCACATGTGAGCAGGAGGTTCACAGGCAGGAGGTACTTCAGGATGTGTGCTTGCCCCTGATTGGGCCTGATGGGAAGTGCAATGAATTATGTTTTCCTTAAGCCCTTGCCATACTTTATTCTGGGCCATTTCCCAGGAACCTGGATATGAACCTTGCCAGAGTCCATCTACCTGGCCAGTACTTAATTAAAGCTTGCTTCAAATTTGGCTTTAAACTGTGGTGGTGGTCTTAGTCTTGATCGGTGGGATTAACACATGCCCAGCAAAGAAGTAATATCATTTCATAAGGCAACTGCCTACCAGATGAAAAGACAGGAGAGAGGGCCGTGGAGAGACACCTAGATGATTAGAGTATCACACATTCTATAACAATGTATACAGATAGATCAGCAGCATCAAAGAGTCTCAGAAGAAATGGGCTGTAAATTGAATTTTCACACATTAAAAATGGAGGCAATAAAGAATAACATATTAAGTGATTCAGGTGTGCTAGTTACCCATCAAAGACCTTTCCCCACAATATTAAGGCTAATATGACCTTGATTATGCATGGCAAAGCAGTGTATCCACTCTCAGAGGATGCATTTTGATAAGTCTGAGCCTATTGTCTTTTGTTACATATTTAGTCTCTGTTGTAAAGCCAATAAATTCTCCTTGTGGATTGATTTTCTTCTCCAGTAAAATAACACCGAATCAGGAGATCAAAGTCTGTGTTCTTGACAATTCTATCTTAAGATACTGATATGTTGACTCAGTGCACGAAACACAGCTATCTCGTGCACTGGAAGACGGGACCAAGAACTGCCGAGCAGGAACTCGACATTCTCCAGAAAAGTGCCTGGGGTGGACTACATATCAACGTAAAGCAGTTTGTTTGCTTGTTTATTTTTTGTTTTGTTTTGAACTCTGAAGATAGATCACTCAGACTTTGGTTCTAGAAAACATGCTCACAAGTTGTTTATAGATGTAAATACATATAACTTCTGAGGCTGTGGAGATCACTCAGTCAGCTAAGTGTTTGCCATGAAAGTATGAGAACATAAGCTGTGTTTTCAGAACTATGTAAAATCCTCAGACATGGTGGCTTGCTTGTAATCTCTGTCCTATGGAGATGGACACAAGAGGATCCTAGGCTCACTGGTCCGACAGCTTATCCTGAGAGGGAAATCTGTGGGTCTCTGTGAGAGACCCTGTTTCAAAAGCAAGGTGGATGGCTCCTGAAGAACAATGCCTAATGTTGACCTCTGTCCTCCACAAGCATATGCACACTTATGTACACACACACACACACACACACACACACACACACACACGAGTTATCAATCCTTCCCCCACATGCAGAAACCTGTATACAAACATCCCTCCCTAGTGTGTATGTGTGTGTGTGTGTGTGTGTATAAATGTATACACACACACACACACACACACACACGAGGGTGGGAGGGGAGTCCTAGTCACTACTTACAAATGGAACATCCAAACCAAAAAGAGTAAAAGACAACTGTTCTTTGTAGCACAAAATACAGCCTTTGCAGAATCATACTTCAAAGTTAAGGCAAGTCACATAGCATTGCAGTTAATGTAACACTGGGATAAAATCATACTAATGAGCTTTAAATTACCTTAGGATGTCTCAGGAGAAACTCTGCAGCTTCTTCAAAATACTCTAGATCTATCTTCTCCAGGTGAGAGGGCAGGTCATCATAGCCCCAGTAAGCCAGAGCAAAGGCTGCAAAGCCATGACTGGCCAGAAGACTGGCCCGGAATTCAATCAGTCCACCAGTGCTCCCAAACAAGTCAATGACCCCTGGGAAAGGGCCTTCTCCTGGAAAAGAGCAACATAAAACAGGTCACATGTGAAAAAGGGAGGAAGACAACAAGAATATGAAGCTGACAGGAAGAACTGAATCTCAGGATTAATGTGTAAATTCTCAAATAGAACATTCACATGTTGGGCATTGTGTCTGGGGTTAGAAGTAAATAAAGCCTTCTCAATATATAATGAAACATTACTTCTATGGATTTTATTACAAACTACATGAATTGACATATTTAATTCCTGAAGCCTAGAGGAGGGTTCATTTTCATCATCTTCAAGTAAAGAAAACCATAAAAAAAAGTGTTCCATCACTTCTTAACCAATAAAGGGTATATAAATGAGCTTTAGGAAATCGATGAAGATCATAAAATTAGATACAAGATATGCTGTCTGTTTATATGTGATTTCCTGTGAGAAATGCTACAGGTTGACAAAGGCTATCTCCAAAGGCCAACAGGAGAGGCAGAGCCTTTAAGAAGGGGACCTAGTTGGAGAGCTTTATGTCCTTGAGGGTGAGCCCTCACAGACACTAGTTAGACAAAGGTCCTCTCCTTGTAAATGAAGTACATAGCTCAAAGATGTCTTTAATGGTCCCACCAGCTAAAATGTCTTGTAAGAGCTGCACCTCCAGAGCTCAGTCCTGGAGCACTTGCCCAAGTCTCAGAGCTCATCCCAGGCACTAGGAAACAAACAAACAAAGGTCAACCACCCTTCTTTCTCTGTTACACTCCGCTAACCATTAACTGATGAAACAGTTGATAAAACCTCCTATCTCAGCAGAGGGCCATGGGGTGCTCTTTCTTTTAATAATAACAACTTCTATTCCTTGCAGCCTAGAGTGAAAGAAGAGGGATGTCAGAGCATCCGTCCACACTCACTCTGTGGCAGTGCATTTCTAAACTAAAGCAGGGCCCACCCACAGTGGCTACCATAAACGTCCCTGTCATGAAACTTGATTTTAGAAAAGGAAGATTGGTTATGTTTGTTTAAAGACTGGCTGAACATGAAGGGCCACTGGCAAGTTTTTAAATGACTGTGTTTCTAGCTTGAGAAATGAGATGGCACACTATATCTTGGTTTAGAAACTACCATGTAAGTACACTAACAAAGATCAATTTTATCTTTTGATGAGTGGGAAGGAAGGGAACAATGAAGGACCTGAAATGTTTTGACACCTAAATCAACTCTTTTGTGGCAGAATATATCTCATCCCTCCTTTGTGCCCCGGAAGATCATTTGATGGAGGAGATTCCACCTATCTAATGTCCCAGAAGACAGCCGATGACAAGCCTGGTGCCAGCAAACCAGCCCGATGCAGAAGGCCTGGACCAACACATACACATTTTAAACGGAGGTGTGATACTAAAGAAACAAAACTTACTGCTAGCTCCTTGGCCCTAAGCACAATAGGATGATCTATGTTTTTATTCCTGGGTATAAAAAAATTAAGTTATGTAAACAAGCTTGTTATAGCAAAGCTGCAATGCTATACTTAAACTGAATATCAATGTGATATAGCTCCAGCAAACAGCTGTACAAGAGTCTTCAGTCAGCCAGGCTCTAATGAACTACATTTTAACCTACATTAACTCTTCAGAAACCTCCCAATGCAGGGACTCTGCGATATGTAGTCATAGCCTGACATAAGCTTCAGAATGGCGGGGGTGAAACTTGAGTTAGAGAGGAATAGCACCTATTTCTTATTCTGAGCCAAAATCAACCCAGATTCTTGGGTAGGATGGTGAGATCTATATAATGCCCTCCTCCAAGCTAAACTTCTAGAGGCACAAGGCCTCCTGGAAGGGAAACAGTGGTCACAATAACCAGAGTGATTCTACTGACCTGGAGGCAGAAACAGGGCTCCCCGGAGGCGGCCTTCCTTTACCAGGATCCTTGTGACACCAGGGGCTACATACCATCTTTTCAAAGTCAGGCTATCCATGGGCGGGCTGATAACCACACCTTTTATTGGAAAGTGTGGACTGCGGAGATCTATGTGGACCTCGTAGGGGCTGTTCATCACATCTTTTTTGGCCAGTCGACTCAACAGTTTTTCAGGTTTCAAGGACCAGAGAAGACCCATGGGGTGGACACCCATATAGTCTCCCCCAAGTGAGGGATCACGGTCCAGATCCACCTCCCCCACTTCACTGGCCTTGTAGTAGGCCTGAGAACCAAAGAGATTGCCCTTCTCATCTCTCAGTGATGCCTGAAGGCATACCACCTGGGAGGGCGTCAGGCCTGTGACTCGGATGTGCACAGGCTCATCGACAAGAGCACTGAGAGGAGTGGCTGTCAGCTTGGCCATCTGGGCAGCAGCAACCTTGAACAAGTCTTCAGGAATATCCTCACCAAGACCTCAAAACAGAAAGAAACAGAAATGAAATACAATGGCAGTAAGGTTCGTGGGTGATGGAAGGGATGAGGAGTCAGGCCTCTTAGGGTTCAGTTTTAACTCTCCATTGATTTGCTGCAACTATATTGTGATAATTTTGTAGCATAAGACACCCGAGAGATGTCAATAGGTTTCTAGAAGCTAGAGAGCATGCGGGTAAATGCTCCAAGTTTAAGCAGCACTCCAACTTCACGTGAATGATATTGGGACATCAAGGAGGATATCTCAATCTGTCCCCATACACAAGTCTGGAAAAAACAGGATTGAGACGTGAGGTTAAAACATGCTGACTGATTGAACAGCTCCCCATAAAGAATAGAGAGCACCACTAACTAATCTTTCCCATGGGGACATGTGTGTTCAGTCTTAGAGAAAAGAAACGTAACTATCACTTTGATTTTAGGACTTATACAGAAGTAAGACCTTCACATATGCAGATGTCTTGCTGAAATGTGCATCATCTTGCCCTTAACACAAGAGTGACCACTCTTCCTAACAAACCAAAACTATCATTAGATTGTTCAATTTATCTGGTTGTCATGTTGTTTTCATTTTAACTCATTTTGCTGAAAATGCCACCCATCTAAATGAATCAAACTCCAGCATGTGACAAAATAGCTATTCCGGAGAGGCAAGAAAATGTACCACCTACTCTGCTATTCACTTATGATAAAACAGCAGGAAGGAACCCCACAGAGAGATAGGAGAAGTAAGAGAAAAGGGGTGCACACTTTTGATGGGTACTGAGGTAGAACTCCGAGAAACTCTCACCCCAGAGCATGTTTCCACTCATCCATGTCTACAGGACATCACCAGAGCCTGACAGTGCACGCAAGGTTGGCTGCAGGGATACATACTGAGATGAACCCATGGGAGGCTTTCAAGCCTCCACTTAATATACGGCAGCTGCCCTTCATGGGATGAGGGCAGGGGAGCAAAGAAAGGTCCCTTTGCTAAGGAAGCCAGGAGTATTACCACAGAGCCACGCAAATTCCCTAGTGACCCTTCTTCCAGAGCTCGAAATCAGGAATTCTCAGTTTAAAAGGCTGGCAAACAGCTGTTAAAAACAAAGGTCTTCCCACGGAGTTCATGAACACTGAGAATCCAGGCTCTTCTGATGAGAAAGGGCTTCACACCACCATCCAAAACTGAACTCAGTGGTGCCCTTAACTCACTAAACTTGCCACAGGTCCCAGACCCAACTCGCACTTGGCTCAGATCAGAGTGATTAGTCCCAAGTCCCAACAGAATATAACATTTATTGTGTATGTGTGTGCGTGTGTGCGCGTGTGTCTGACAACTGATGGGTGTTGACTGTCTTCTTCCACCATGAGTCAGTAAGTGGTTTTACTCACTGAGCAATATCACTGGCCATCTTTTTTTTCCAGATATTATTTTCATACAAGACACCCAGGATCCATTTTTTATTATTATACATAAAAATTATAAAGACTCATGATTACAAGAGGAGAGAATCACTATAATAGAAAGAGAAGTAGTCCAGATGTTGGGATTATCAGACATCAAGTAGAAAGGAACCAACAGACATAAGAACAGCTCAAATTAAACTACAGAGAGAAAAATCAAGGTAAAAGATGAGAGCACTGGAGGCATGGGAAAATGCTTTAACATATATGGTTTAATATATGGTAGAAATACTCTAATGATGGCACCTTAGAAAGGCATGTTAGAGATGGGCACGGGAAGGATGCTTGTAAAAAACTGGGGCTGAATTTTCCTCAATTCACTGAAAAGCACCATGCTACAGTCACAAGAAATGTAACAAATACGGGGACAAAAACAGCTAAATCCCAGCTGTCATTATCGTCAAACTGATAACACACACCGCAAGTGTTAATAGAGCCCGAGAAAAGTGGCAATGTTACAGAGGAAAAGAACAAATGTAAAATAACAAGCAGGAGACAATAAACCCTCAGTGCTCAAAAGGAAAGAGAAAAGAAATAAACAAAGCAAAATGCCTGAAACCCCTTACCTAACAAATATCAAATTACACATCAAAAACAGAGGCAAAAGAAAGGAATTGCCAGGGGGAAAAGGAGAAAATGCATCTGCAGTAAATTATATTTCAAGAAATGCACTATGGAAGGGATGTTATTCCAGGGAGACAGCTTAATGCATCTGAGAAATGACAAAGAGCAAGAACACATTTATTATCTGGGTAAATATAAAAGCCCTTTTCCAAATTTCATCACCTATATATAAATACATATATGAGCCTAAACATAGTTAAAAGTCTATAGGCTGTTCAAAATAAAAGGAACTGCTTTATGAAAGTTATACAAGAAGTATGGCCAATAGGTGGAAATGTGATAAATATGCTTCTTATATATCACTGTTTTTCAAGTAACATGAGGTTTTCTGCAGGTAGATAATGCTAATTTACATTACTTAGCAAGAGCCCAATGAGCTAGAAGATAATAGATATGAGAGCTGCCAGATGTCAGAGTGATTATTATGGAGCAAGTGACATGGAGAAGGATACAGCCAGTAATCACTTACAGTGGCGGTACAGCAATGTCCTGAAATGGAGGTGTTCAGGGGAAGAAGATCAGCACAGATGCACAGGACTTCTCGCTGACTCTCAATCCAAGGCTCTGACCACTTGACGGATACTGTAGGAGTTTAAAAATGCAGCCTATCCAATCAGAGCTGGGGAACATATCTTTCTATTTCACTCCTCAATGTTGGCTAAACAGAGAGGTGCCTAAGAAGACCTTGGAATTTGGACTTTGGATAAACGCCTGAGCTAAAAAATACCTAAAAATAAAAGCAGGAGGGCTGCTACTGTGGGAAGGCCCCAACAAGCTTGTGTCTTTCATTGCGACTCTCCTCTGACACCATCTACTTTGCTGGGATGTGGCTGTGAGCTCCTGTGCACCCAGCAGCACTAGGGAGACTGAGGCAGGAGTGAAGCCAAAGCCAGCCTGGGCTCCATAGGGAGATTCTGTCTCAGAAAAACAAAAGAGCAAAACAACAAAAGGAATTCTCTCTGTAGCACAGTGTACTATTTCAAACAGAAGTCTCAAGGGCAAAGGAGTAAAATCATCTAGGATTCACTCTTGCATGTGTCCTGGAGTCAATACAGAGCTGGAGACACCACTCTGGGATATGTGAGCCTCTTTGTGGTCTTTCTGCATGAGCCTGTTTGGGTTTTCTCACATCATAGCTGGAAGGCAAGAGATAGAAGCAGCTGTAAGCTCTAACCTCTGCCATTTCATATTTGTCAGAGAAGGCATAAGTCTCCATTAGAATTCAAGTGGAGAGGGCAGAGACTTTGACAGTGAGGTAAATATTAACAGGGGAAAGCGATGAGGGTATGGGATATATGTATACCATTTTGTGTAGCAGGCTTTCTCAGACCGCCAGCCCCCAAATCATGACATGGGGACTTATTATTAGTTATGAATGCTCGGCCTTAGCTTAGGCTTGTCCCACTAGCTCTTATAACTTATTTTAACCTGTTTCTCTTCATCTACATTTTGCCTCAGGGCTTTTTACCTTTCTTTCATTCTATATGTCCTACTTTTCCTGCTTCCTCCTTGTCTGTCTGTCTGGCGGCTCCCTGACTGGCTGGCACTGGGCATCTCCCTCTCTTTCTCCCTCCTTCTCTTTTCTTAAGCAGAGATTCTTCCTCCTACTTATTCTCTCTGCCTGCCAGCCTTATGTATCCCTCCTCTGCCTAGCTATTGGCCATTCAGCTTTTTGTTAGAACAATCAGGTGCCTTAGGAGGCAAAGTGAAACAGCAACAGGTCTTTACAGAATTAAATAAATGCAGCATAAACAAATGTAACACATCTTTACACAGTTAAAGTAATATTCCATAACCTAAACAAATGTAACACATCTTTACATAGTTCAAGTAATATTCCACAACACTTCTTATATTTGCACTACCTTCTGCAATCCTTTGGAAATAAAATCTGCCACAGTAAGGGAATAAGAGAGCACATGATAAGTCAGATGAATGGAAAATAGTGACCAAGATGGGAAATTTCAACACAATTATATTTAAAATTGCATTATGGGGCTAAAGAGATGGTTCCATGGTCAGGAATACTAGCTGTTCTTCCAGAGAAAGATTCCTAGCACTCACATGGTGACTCACAACTCTCTGTAACTTCAGTTCCAGAGGATCTGATGTCCTTTTCTGGCATCCACAGCACCGGGCACACAAGTGCTACATAGACATGCATGCAGGCTAACACCCATACACATAAAACAAAAACAAAAATGAGAAAAAGAAATAAGGTGGTTGAAGGGAGGTGTGATGACTATTCTTGGTTGTCAACTTGACTGCATCTGGAATAAACTTCAATCCAGGAATGAAGGGCACACCTGTGAGGGACTTTTTGCTTAGTTTGAAATGGGTACATCCACCTCTAGTCTGGACCTTTGAGGTAGGAAGGCCACGCACCTTTGATCAGGATCACGAGGTGGGAAGACACATACACTTAATTCAAATTTTGAGGTGGGAAGGCACACCTTTAATGTGGGCCAGACCTTCTACTGGAAGCCTACATAAGGACATAGAAGAAGGAAGCTTTTGCTCTTTGACTGCTTGCCCTCACCTAGACAGAACATCCATTCCTCCACTGGCATTAGAGCCTACTTCTTCAGTATCCCAGCATAAATGGAAGAGCAGCTGAGACATTCAGCCATGTGGACAGAGCAACTACGGGATTCTTGGACTTTCCATTCATAACCATCCATTGTTTGATTAGCTGGACAGCTGCCTGTAAATCATTCCAATAAATCCCCTTTATTTATATATAGAGATTCATTCCATAAGTTTGATTACTCTAGAGAACCCTGACTAATACTGGAAGGGAATTTGCTTTGTGCCTTATCCGGGCTTCCTCCCAAAGCTCATTTTTGATGTAACAACACAACAGTAATTAATTTATTTTGAGGGGTTAAAAGATATGCAATGAATGGTTGGCTAAGGGTGGTCCTTATACACATACATAGAGGTGGGGCAGATAGATGTAAATAAATGTGGACTATCAGCCTATAGAAAGAAGTGCTCAGATAAAAAAATCTCTATTTGCCTCATTACAACCTCCCAGAATTTGAATACTTATTAAGATCATATAGGAATGAAGAGTGCAGTCAGCAATAGAATCCGTATCTCCAACTCTGTCAAACTGATCAGTAAGAAATTTCCCAGTGAGTCACTTAAGATTAGGTGCAGCCCTGTTCCAAAATGTAGAATTCCTTCTCTGCATTAGCATCATCCACTAGGCTTCTCTTAGATTTCACTTGTCAGCCAGTGTATCCAAGCAAGAAAAACTGATTCATTGTTGAGTTTCCACTTCAAGTATTTTCAGTTTAATTCAAACATATTATCATCCTAACCTTAAAAGAAAATCCCTCCCACCCCCCATCCCACCCCACCCCACCCCTGTCTCTTAGATTTCTATCTCTATCTCTTTGGGTTTTTTTGAGACAGGGTTTCTCTGTGTAGCTTTGGCCTGTCTTGGAACTCGCTCTGTAGACCAGGCCGGCCTTGAATTTATAAAGATTAAATAAAACATAAATAGTGCAGGTTAGTGTTCCAGACTAAGAGCTTTTTTCCCCCTACCATATTCTAGAAAATTGTCAACAAAGGGGGAGTTACTAATGGAGATTAGGATAGCACAAAGGGAGTGAAGTGACTTCTGATAGTCTTTCATGTCCTTTAAAAACGTCCAGTGATCACAGGTCCCGAATGACATCCTTTCTAAGCAAAATCTGACTGAAAAAGCACTGTACTGTTAACACCTCTGGGAACTTCTGAGCTCTCCAAAAATATGGGAGGAGCAAAAGGAGTATTTGATCTTGGAAACCACTCAATGCCAAACACTGGAGGAAAAAAAATAAGACTTTTATTTTTAATTTAGGAGTTAAGATTTCTTACGTATTTCCAATCAACTCAAAGCAAACAGCTTTGATTGCAAATCAACTAATGTTCCTTTCCCTATTTGAAGCTGCTTTTCCAGCAGTAAAGGAAAAAGCACAATCCCAGTTGCCCAGGACCGAGCCTCAAATGCTTTTGACATTAGTTCACATTGAGTCACAGAGCAAAGGGCATCAGCTTACCTGCTGCTGTGCCGACTCTGTTCCCGCTCTGGTTACCTATTAAGTACACAGTAGGGAACCTAGCCCTTTTCCTCCTTCCTTTATGCTTTGTTTTGGGAGTTTTCTTTAGTTTTTAAATATGTATGTTTTATATAATAAGAATTACATAAAATATATTCATGTGTATATATATATGATGTCTGTGGGGAGGGGGAGTATAAATGCACACTCGCATGCACCAGGGCCCATAAAAGGTCCTCAGGCTTGGTGAGAAGTGCTGTTATCTGCTGAATCATCTCCCTGACCTCTTGTTTGTTTAAAACTCTACTGCCAATATTTGATTTTATCTGACCACTAATTTAAGAAAAGTCAATGCAACTACTGCAGGACTCTGAACTTGCAAAACATTTCTTTCCAGGTCTGAGTTCAATCCTACAAAACTAAATAATAAAAGCCAATTATGGGCTGGAGAGTTGACTCACTGGTCAAGTGTTGGCTGTGCAATCATGAAGACTGGAGTTTGGATCCCAGCACCCACATAACAAGCTGATCTTCCTGCAAATGCCTACAGCTCCAACTCCGGTGGATTGAATGCCTTCTTTTGGCTTCAAAGATACACACATCTTCCATGTTAAAACAAAACCCAGCAAGAGAGGGAGTCTCATGCTATTTGAAACTTGAAACATATAGTCATGTAAGATCATTTATCTTGAATTTTGAATTGCTAATGATTTTATTAGGTTTTATGCAAGCACACGCTGAGCCCATAGGTTCAACTAAGTGAAATTGATTAGCTTATGCCCTTTACATCATTGAGTTTTTTAAAATAGAAAGCTTTTGTGTATGTCCAGCTACCTTAGTAAACAAGCAAACCTGTTCCCTTCGGAACTGTAAGGCCACTATTCTCAAACAGTATAACGAGCTGTGTGCAAAGCAGTGACACCCTCCAGAGCTACTGATAAGCAGCAGAACTGTTCTACAGAAAGGTACTCTGCTGCCATCTTAACGTCATTTCCTGATCCTAGGCCCATGTTACTTCTGAGCACTGTAGAGATGAGGAAGCTTACAACCACTCCAGACACTAATGCGGTCTCCACATGACTCATTCACATATAGATTTTTGAACAGCACTGTTCTAGGGTACACAGCAGCAGCTTCTATCTTAACAATAACATGAAGAGTGCATTTTGCAGTCCCTGGTCCAGTTGTAGCTAAGAATGTTTCCATCCTGACTTCCCACCTCTTCATTTCCAGTATGCTATTGTTGTATGGGAAACACAATCATCAAATTCTGTATGTAAAACCCAAATGTTTCAGTGCTGAATCTGGTTCTCACAAAACAAGAGCTCATATGACCAAACTCCAGGGCTCCAGACACTGATACTTCGGAAACTCATGATGTAAATGCCATTGGTGTGTACCCAGTAATTTTTAAGTGCTGTGACATTTTTTTAGATACTGTCTTGTCAGGATTGTGTGGGTATGCACACCTGAGGCCAGAGCAGGGCATATTTTTTTTTTTTTTACTGATCTCCACCTAATTGTCTTGAGATAAGGTTTTTCTGCTGAATGCTGAATGGGAACCTCACTTTTTT